GGGGGTGGCGGCGGCCTCGGATGCCGGAAATCATACTCGCAGGGCCGGATCCGGAGTTTAATGAAGGCCGCAACTTTCGCGATTATAACGTCGTTTGTTTTGGCAAGACGCCCCGCGGAGTCATTAATCATGGAGTGAGTCCGGCCCTTCCTCTCGCGAGGTCTCGACACCCCTCGCTCGACGCTCAACAGTTAGCGGGGACCGCCGAGACGTTGATGACGAATCCGGGATCGCTTTGTGCTCTGCCCTCAACTCGCGGGGTGTCGGGAATCGCGCCTCCCTGCGCGACTGAGTCATCCCCGCTGCTCCTCTGCCGTGTCAACATTCGAATGCACATGGATTCCCGTTGACACTCACTGGAAAAAAAAACACATTGGATCTAGAGTCCAGACTCTTAAAAACATCGACAAGAAAAAATACTCTTGATTCAATCGGATTTTTGCCTAAATCAAGAACCAAGCCTCTTAATTTGAGCGGATTTCCTTTTGATTTAAGCTTAAATCTGATTGAATCAAGAGTATTTTTTCTTGTCGATGTTTTTAAGAGTCTGGACTCCAGATCCAATGTGTTTTTTTTCCAGTGCTTTATTATTTGTTGGGGAAATAAGCTTTTACATGTATAAGGTGTGAATGGAGATGTTGCATGTGTGAGGTATTTGCGGTTTGACTGTTGATTCTTATGTAAAAGTTCGCGAGAAACACGATGGTGCCACTGGTTTTCTCTGACATCAACTTCCGAGCTCAAAAAAAGCTCTCGAGTTGAGGCCAAAATGGAGGGGATATCCCACGCTATCCTGAGAGTCCACCTACACATCAAGACAAACTCTCCATGCAATGATAGGGAGCAAATACATTGACAGAGCTGCCGTGATTTCAGTTTTGGAGTTCCCAAATAAAGTGGCAGCCCTGTCAATGTATTTGCTCCCTATCTTTGCATGGAGAGTTTTTTTTGATGTAGAGGTGGACTCTCAGGATAGCGTGGGATATCCCCTCCATTTTGGCCTCAACTTGAGAGCTTTTTTTGAGCTTGAGAGTTGATTTCAGAGAAAACCAGTGGCACCATCGTGTTCTCGCGAACTTTTACATAAGAATCAACAGTCAAATCGCAAATTCCTCGCACATGCAACATTTCCATTGGACATTGTCTGCCAAACGGAGCCTGAGACAGGTGTTGGTTAGTCGCGGGTTCTAAGAATGAGCGGGAATCATAACGCGCCGGTGACGTCAGCGGCAACGAAGCCGTCTCGGTTGTCGCTCTTGGTTGGTATTAACTCTTGAGCCCTGTCCACAACGCTCTATTGCCATGCCCACGGCTCATCAGTTGGCACTTAGTTCCGTTTCCGAATCTGAATTTCTCATCGTCCCTCAGCCCCGTCCCCCCGACCTCTTTCGGCGAATAAATGGAACATCCTCACCATAGAAGTTAGGGTTTACGCCAAAATTGGAAACTATTCCCCCACCTAAACCTAATTTTACGCGAATCTGTAATATTTCCAATATAAAGTAACCGATTCCAAGAGTAAAGGTTTACGAGTAAAATTACAGATTTTGAGTACATATTTAGCAACCCTGTAATGCGGTTGCTCTCCATTTTCTAGGAAACTATGAAATATTGAATTCTATCTTTCTTGTTTCGATGCGAGCTTGAAATTCATTGGCGAAGTGTGAATCATCTACCGATGATATTTCCTCATTTGAAGCGATAATGAGGAATCGATTATTAAGATGTTCGTCGCGAACGCCCTGAAAAGCGATAATTTTCTAAAGGTTCAGTCGATCCATAGCAAAGCACGAACTGCCATGGTTGAATTAGCAGGTGAGAAAGGCAAAGGCGTTGTGACCTTTGAAAGTTTCCAACACTCAAAGCACGCAATCAATTATCAAAGTCAATTGCACCATGGGTTGTGACACCCCACGAGTTACCGAATATTTCCATGAACTACTCCATAGATGCATCTTTTTTTTCTATTTTTTTTCTGCTGGTTTATTGGCTTCGTCTCCAGCACCTTCAGGCAACTTTAGACAATGTTCAGTGTCCGTAGACATCGTGAGATCTCCATGCTCCAGGCTTTTCCAATTTTCAGGGATTAGGGCCAAGGAGAGCCTATTTCAGCAGATCTACTCATCAATTCCGTGAAAATTAGATGCCACCATCGGGATTCAAACCCGGGACCTATTGACCTAGAGTCAGACGCGCTGACCACATGAATCTTTTTTATTTTACTTTATCTCCATTGGGCTGGTGGCACAAAAGTGTTGGGGGGAGGGGGGGGGGGTGGTGTAATCTGAAACAAAAAATAGTCGCCAAAATGATTCTAGTTCATCCTCCTAGAAGAAAGAACAGACGTATACCCACGTAAAAGAATCGAAAAATAATGCAAAAACCGACAAAGCACAGCCACTCTTTCTCCCATCTTTTTTTAGACTCGAAATGTCACGATCCATCAGAAGAAAAAAGAAAATGAAAATTATGAATTTCAAAACTTCAGTCTGGGAATGCACATGCTGTGGTGTTTCAAGGCAAGCAAAATGGGAGGAAGGTAGACACGGCGATGGAAGTAGCGATCATTTTCATCAGAAAACCAATATGATTGCACGATATTCGTTGGGTAAAACTGTCTTTGTCGCTGTCTGGGATCTTAAAATAGGCTCGACCTTGATATTCCATTTGGCTAAAAAATTCGATACCAAGAAGTTGCTCAGCAAAACACGCGAAATACAGAAAAGAACGGAATAATTTCACAGAACAAAGGCATTTTTTTCTTTTTGAAAAAATAAATGCATCCGAAAACCTTTTACGTTGAGGCATCTGGAACACTTGGGCGAGAGGAGGGCCTACGGGGGGGAAGGAGGGGGGGGGGGCGTCAATGCGATAAAAATGTTCTTCAATTTGGGTCAACCACTTTTCGTCGCGTCTTTTTATTCGTTATTAAGAATGGTAGAGGATAACTCCTAGTTATATTTTTGGAGTGAATCTTTCTGCCACGTCTTTGTCTAGTCATCATTCAGGTGTACCTAACCATTCTTCACACTATAACATTTTTTTGTGAGTGTCTTAATGAATATTAAAGCCGTTTTCGTCTGAGGCCAAGAAGCATTCCCAATCTCTGGAGGATTGGAGAAGAATTCTCATCAAGGATGAAGCCCAAAAAGTACGGTCACCCGCGCTGTGCGTTGCCGGTGCTGTTCACTTTGATGTTACTCCATAGTCATGGAGAAGCGGTAAGAAATAAGTTGATCAGCAATTCATTTCCTTAGGCTGTGTTTTAACAATTTAACTTCGAATTGAAATTCTAGAATTTTCCTGAAATTTGATTACGTTTTGTTTGTGTAGATAAGAAGAGAATCATTTTTACATTACTTCAGTTCATGACTGACAGCACAATGAAAGAACCGAGTTCAATACTACCGTGCTAAGGAAAAACGCCGTAAGAGCCTTCTGGGGTTGCCAAATTTCCATTGATAAAGCACAAATTCCCCGGTAAACTTAGGAGTATTTTCCTTCCAATTTTTTACGTAATTTTGTTCGTAGTTTTACCTAAAGTTCCTGTAAATTTCAAGGAAATATATTCATAACTTTCCTCAAAAATAAATATTTTACCGAAAAAAATTTAGCAACTCTCGAATGCTCATATGGTGTCCTTAGCCTGGCAGAATAGAAATTTACCAATTCCGCGAGTCTGAGCCGCGAAAATGAGGTTTGAAAAATTATTCCACAAGGCTCAATTAGCCAATTATGAGGACAAAGCTTATAATGACTGGTTCAGCCCTCAAAATATTTTTGCTCGACTTTGAATTTTTGGTGGGGAATAATTTACGACTGAGCGAATTCAAAAATACTCGTAGATAAACAGAACCGCGCTGAGCACCAGAATGTGGACCTCAGCACCTGCGGCGTATGATGATTTTGCTTTACCCTTCCAATTCCGCACTTGGGCACAGCCGGCGACTGTCTTCAGCATATTCCTCCTGTGCTTTCAAACATACAGTCTCTACTAGGCGACATGTTTCCCTGCACTCCATCACATTCGGTGGAGCTAAAGCAAAGTTGGTGCTCAGCGCGGTTCAATTTTTCTCCGTGTTCAGCAAAAATACGTCTAATTCATGGATTTTATCCCTTCTCAGTAAACCTCGATCAGGACCTGATTGCTTTCCTCCTTTTACTTTATGCACAGATGCGAAACGTCGATATAGTCGGGGCGGCGAACCAGTGCAACTCAATCACGAGTCAAACGGACCCTGGGGTCAGGAGGGAGATAAACAAAATATGCAAGGAAGTGTTCCATGAACTAGATCGACTCTTACTAAACACCGGCTGCCCGGAATGGTCTGACCCCAAGTGCCGTCGCTTATACCGCAGTGACTCCGTCTACCAATGCACCGTCAAGGTGCCAAACCCGTGCGGTGTCGTCCCGCAAAAACCACAGACCATTTTCGACTGTGCGCCGGCCCTCCAACCAGCGGACCCGACCAGCGGTGACGAACCCCAGCCCGGATCGACCTCACCGAGAGGGGCCGATAGGGGCAAAGCGCCTGTCCAAGGAAGAGGCAAGAGTCGCAGAATTGATAGTGGAAGCGCAGCAAATCCATTTTATACGGGGGGCTCTTCACAGACTGCAGGGTTTTCATACGCGGGAGGCTCTCCATACGCTGGAGGTTCTCCATACGTTGGAGGTTCTTCATTCGCTGAAGACTCACCATACGCTGGAGGTGGAGGCTCTTCATACCCTGGAGGTTCTTCATACCCTGGAGGTTCTTCATACCCTGGAGGTTCCTCATACCCTGGAGGTTCTTCATACCCTGGAGGTTCTTCATACCCTGGAGGTTCTTCATACCCTGGAGGTTCTTCACCTGCAGGTTCTACATACCCTGGAGGTTCTACATACCCTGGAGGTTCTTCATACCCTGGAGGTTCTGCACCTGCGAGGTATTCCTTTCCCGAATATCCTCCATACACCACATACTCGGATCCTACTGAAAACCCCAATTTCAATATGGACGATTTCTTCAGGACCGATCCCTCACTGGATTCAATTTTTGGAACTTCAACACCTGCAACTCGTCCTCCCATTCCACCCCCTGGACACATTACAGATGAATCATTCGATGCAAGGGAAATGTCAGATCCTTCGTTTGGTCAAAATGCACCTTATGACTTTCCGCAACTTCCGGCAAGTCCAGTATTTCCTTCGAGTCCCATAGATCCTTCGTATGGTCAGAATCCACCTTGGCCACAAATTACTCCATATTCTGGATACAATCAGGGTGAAGAAGGATCCGTTGAACCCATTTCTCCGCCGAGAAGTCCATCCGGATATAGACGAAGTACGTCCGGAGGTGAAGGTGCGTATATAATCTTGAATTTCCCTGCCAAATACTCTCTGCTCTTTCAAGTGATCTTCACTGAAAAAAAAACTCCGGCCGTGGGAGCCACAATTACGGGCTATATATACATACCGTCCGTTCCGGGCTCGAATGCCGAAAATTCCGGCTACTGGAGGCGTAGTTTCGATTGCTCCGGGTTCAGAGGCCGAAGCTACGGCTCCAGCAGCCGGAATTTTCGGCCTTTGAGCCCGGAACGGACGGTGTGCCTATATGGCCCATAATTGCGGCTCCCACGGCCGGAGTTTTTTTTTCAGTGTTTCAAAACCCTTCGAAAATCGTGAAAATTCTAGGAACTACGGAATATTACATGTAAAAGTATAGTGAAATGAGGAATTTTGAGAGAAAGACGGTGAATCAAGCGATGGAAATCCGCAGCACACTCCATGATTACGCGCTTTGGATCTCTCTCCCGTGAATACACATCTCAATTCAACTCTTATAACTCTTCGTACGTAGATCATAAAAATAACATTGGTTTTCATGACTCGGAAATTTTCGGAACATCCATACACCGAAATACTCAAAACTTGGATCTGAGATTTTTAGTCGAGGCTGCTGCAATTCAAGAAAAATACGGAAAGTTCGGCATGGAGTTCAGTTTTTCCAAATTACGGCAGCCGGAACAAAAAATTTGGGCTCCGGACGCCGAGTTTTTCCAGAAGAAAACGTCGCCAGAACATTTTTTTTTCGTGTAGGTTTGAGTACTAAAATCGTATATATCTTAAACATGGATTTGTATATTTAGAAATTTACAACGTATTGACCTCAAAAAGGGACTTTTTGAAAAATACGCAACGCTAAAAATCGGATTTTCCGACCCCCGTGACGTATCCGCGAATAAGGCTCAGGATTCATCTTCTCTCCTTGAGTGCCACGTATTTCACAAACGACCTCAATGGACCATTGAATAGGGCGTGATTTCAAGCATCATGTCGTGTAGCTTCTCATAAAAACTTCAAGTGGAACACGATTTGTGCCAAAAAAAAAAAAAAAATGATCGAACGTAATTCCTAACCAAAATACTGACGTTTTTCGATGCATACGGGTGGTTTCACGATAACTGGAATAGTTTTGTCGCCGGAACAGACAACACATTTTTCGGTCATATTTTTAGTAGAAATGGTAATCACTCGAATTTTTTCACATTAATCTTCAAAGGGTCACGTATGATAACATTTTTAAACGATTTATTGTTAGCGATAAATCTTTGAATAGCGTTACAGCACGTAGCCCTGTGTAGATTTATGCAAAAAAATACGAGTGATTATCATTACTACTACTCATACAAACACGTATCTTATCTCTTGAAATGGCAAAACTGCGCTTATCCAAATTGTGTTACTCACGAGCATTCTGGCATGCAACACAATTTGTATCTATATTCTAATGGATCAACAATAATTTACACTTATCCAACTTGACCTGCAAGCCCCTTAATGTAGGATGCGTTTTGGTGCATATTTAATGGCCCAATATCCTCGGCTATTATCTTTTTTATTATTATATATCATATCATATCATATCATATCATATCATATCATATTATATTATATCATATTTTTGATTGATATCGTTTTTGAAGGTGGAGCGGACTGGAAGTGCCCCGAATGCGGAAGGCGCTACGATAACGAAGATACAATAAACGCGCATAAATATAATCATTACGCAGTTGGCAAAGGCTATACCACGTGCAGGAGATGCTATGAGGTCTGTGACTCCATAAAGCAATTTAACCGTCATATAGAAGCACACTACCGCAGTAAGTTCATGAGCCACTCTCTTTATTTTTTTCTGCAAGACCTATTTCAAGGTAGCCAGATTCTGCGGTAAGATACGGATATTTTACATGGGTTTAAGTGTGAAAATGTGCTGATATCTCAGCTTTATCTAGCAACAATGACCCATTTTCGTGTTCGTCGTTCACGTTACAGTGGCGAAACGCGTTGCGGAACGCAAATATTCTATCTCAGTCTTGACGCTTTGGCTCAGCCACAGCAAATTGTTTACACTGTGAACAATAAGGGCAGGAAAGGATCAATACTCGATTGAGAAGCCTGCCAAAACCGTTGATGGTGCGATTTAGCTCACTTGGAGTATTGTGTTTCTTGCGACCGGGCAATTCAAATTTCCCGTGACTGATGTAAAATAAGAACATTAACACGTACCTTACTTAGGTGTTGATGTCAGTAATTTTCGATGAAAAAATCGTGCTCTACGTGAAGTTTTGGCTAAGAAACATTTATCAGAACGCTTGAATTAGTACCTTATCTTGTGGTCCATTTTTTATTCTTTATTACTCTGTATAAAACTGCCGCACTGGCTCACTCTGCCCCCCTAGAGAAAAATTGGCCGAAGAGCTTTCCTTTAAACTTGGTACACGCTTAGCAATTGTCGTGAGGAGTTGATCAAAATTATTTCGATCCCAATACGTCGCCCAGGACGCCCGCAAGAGCGGAAAGTTGTTTCTCCGTATGGTAAAATGCATTGGAGATACGAGGTTGTTCACGCGTACCGCGCCAAACAGAATCAATCCTATTACCGAGGTATACATAGGTAGTATAGGTACAGCATACACTCGAGGTTTTAGGGGGTATTTATGTGGAAATTGGTGGCGGCGGGGGCGGTTACAGGACTTTTGGTCCAATTTTTTTTGTCCATAAATTTTTTCGTCCAATTTATTTTGTCCACGACTTTTTGTCCTTGAAATCTGGTCCAAGTTAAATTCGTCCTGGTAAATAGTTAGTCCTACGCATTTGTTCGTCCAGTGGTATTAGGTCACATTTCTGTGGTCCAGTAAGGTAAAAAAGTTATGTCCAAAACTCACGTCCAATGAGGCCGTTTCAGCTATTTCCTTTCAGCTTTCAGCTACTTTCAGTCATCGTCTGAGTCTTCTTCGTCCGAGTCCGGTGGATCTGCGCGTGGCGTGTGCAACTTGAGGTGGTACGCACATGCTCGGAGGTACTTCTTAAGTGAGTTCGTGTCCTTGTAATGTTGGTAATTTCGTTGGTAAAATAACCTCTTCGATGTTTTTTCTTTCGATGTTGGGATTAAATTTAAGGGTCTCCATAGCTACGAAATAAATTGATCTTAACGCCAATTGATTCACACGCCACGCGCAGATCCACCGGACTCGGACGAAGAAGACTCAGACGATGACTGAAAGTAGCTGAAAGCTGAAAGGAAGTAGCTGAAACGGCCTCATTGGACGTGAGTTTTGGACATAACTTTTTTACCTTACTGGACCACAGAAATGTGACCTAATACCACTGGACGAACAAATGCGTAGGACTAACTATTTACCAGGACGAATTTAACTTGGACCAGATTTCAAGGACAAAAAGTCGTGGACAAAATAAATTGGACGAAAAAATTTGTGGACAAAAAAAATTGGACCAAAAGTCCTATAACCGCGGGGGCTACTTTTGGACGGAAAACTCGAATTTTCAGTCAGATTTTAAACATTTCAAAATCCAAGATGGCGGCCGCGCTCTATAATGCGGTCTCGGCTCCTGAAACATCGATTTCTGTTAAATTTTGTGAAATAGAAGATGAAGACGAAGATGTTGTCTTCTCATCACTGTTAAAAACCATGTGGGGCAGTGGCGGCTCGCGGAGCGAGTCACAAGTTCATCGCGAAGCGAAGAACTGGGGTCCAGCGGCACTCCCTGGCTAGGCGTGTCAGCTCGGGCTCGCAAAGCGAGCTAATCACGGCTAGTTATAATAATAATTGTCCCTGGTTATTTCAGAGGACAATTTTTGGGTTTTAACTTGTGACTCGTGTCAACGAACTTTCAAATCAGAGCGTTCTTTGAGGGAGCATGAAGCGCAGAATAATCATGGGATAGATCGTCGATCCCTAGCCTGTAACCAGTGCACACAAACGTTCGAAAACCAGGAAGCTTTGAGCCATCACCAATGGATTCATGAGGCTATTCGCAGATCAGAACATAAATGCTTGGAATGCCTCCTGGTCTTTGCATCGGCGGATCACTACAATTGGCACTTCCAAGCTAAACATGGATCAGGTCAGTTCATATATACTGCCGTGCTAAGGAAGAACGCCGTATGAGTCCACAGACGTTGCCAAATTTCCTTCGATAAAAATCTAATTTACTGGACAAATTATGAATATTCTCCTTCAGTATTTTTCAGAAAATTTTCTTTTCCAATTGTGTCTAAGACGTTTGGAGAATTTAAAGAGAAAAAGGCATAATTTCTCTAAAAAATACGTGTTTTATCCGGGACAATTCGGTAACTCTCGAATGTTTGTACGGCGATTTCCCTAGCACGGCCACTGCTTACCAAAATTATAAGTTACCAGAACCAAAAAAGTTCAATACTCAATTTGTACCCAACCCGAGTTCGAAACTCATCTCCGATTTTTAGGCGCCATTGAAGATTTCTTAGGGGTCAAATTGACTTTTTGCCGATATATTACGGCGCATTTAGTGAAAAGTTAGATGCAAGATGATTTCGTGACAGAACTAACAAGTAGCTGTAACTTGAGGAAGACAAAAGCACAAAGAATGAAATCATGAAAATAGAAAAAGCTTACACTTGTAGTGCTGAAAATTTCGAATAATCACCCGATATGAAATTTCAGATTTTTAGGGGGCAATTATTAGGGGCCACGTTGGCGCAGAGCCTTCATTTTTTAGGCGCCATAGCCGATGTTTTAGGCGCATATGGCGCGTTAGCGCCTGAGAGTTTCGATCACTGTACCCAACTTTTTTCCGAACTTTTCAAGGTCTCTCGAGTAGGGGTTTTATTCGTCGGATTTCTTGTGAATGAAATGAAATGCTTCATTTATTGTTAACACTTAGTTCTGCTAATATAGGGCTAAATGAAAATTTAAATAAGGGAGGCGCCGAAGGCGCTCTTGTCATTCATTTCCTCTTTTACTTTTGGTGGATAAATTGAAATGTTTGCTTAATTTTTGAGCCTCGTCTTGCTGAGGTTGAAAATATCAACCCCAAAAGAGGAATCCAAGATGGGCGCGGGCGCTCTCCCCTTTGACGGCGCACACTGGATCGGGTCAATACGAAAAGACGGACAAAATCTTGAAACTTTGAAACCTTATATTTTCGAAAATATGAATAAAAAATTGTTCAAGAGTGGTTTTATTGGGCTTTTCGTGAAACTTTTCTCAGAAGCATCCCTTAAAATGGAATTCGTGACCTTAGAAACATCAAAATTCAAAATTTTAGCCAAAAATTTCATGTACCATCTCCTCTATTAGCTCGTTTCAATGTGCGGCGTTGTGGTGGCTCCTCATTTTTTACCCACAATTTTTAATGCAATGAATTAGACGTATCTCTGCCGAACGGAACTATGAATATTTAAACATGAGCCTCGAGACCCATAAAAATATATTCGTAACAGGGTTCACGTCATAATGCACGCAGTTCCGTTTGACAGAAATACGTTCAATGAGCTTGTTCAGCAATTCGTAATTCTTGCATTTTTGGAAACTAGAGAGTGCACAGAGTTCACAGGAATTTTCCCCGATTTTTTTGAGCAATATTAACCCACGAAATACGAGTCCAAAAGTCCGCATTTTGGGCTCCCATTTAAACGCGCGCCGCTTGGCCCATCTCAAAATGGCGCCCATTTTCTCCGTCCGGCGGTGGCCACACTTTTGACCCGGCGTGCCGGCGGGTACCTCTGCATGCCTCTGCCGTGTGTGGGTCGTATAAACAAACGAAGATTGATAACACAAATGATCCGAGCAACTCGAAATCTCTTAATATTAAATAATTTAAATCCATTTTCGACTTCAACCAAGCACTTGGCAATAATATTCATCGTATTTTACAACCAGGAGCCACGGCCTATCGGCTCATTTTAAGGTGCATTCTGAAAATCAGTGTTTACAAGTCCAGTGTCCAAACCCAGACTTTCTTCCTTTACTTTTTTTTGACCATTCTCTTTTCATTTTCGCCTCAAATCAAATGTTTAGCAGTTTCTTTGTCTTGAGTATGTGGTCCTGAATTCATTCAAGAGTTAGAAGTTCACCATTTATTTAGTATTGTAGCCTTTTGACCTCTCAAGCTTTACCGATATGATCTCATGTAGTTCGAGGTTTCTTTGGCCCAAACCAAGTGATTACACATCTGATGTGTGTCTTATGGCTCTTCAAATTCGCAGTTTAGAACTAAATCAGAAACTACAGTTACTTAATCCAGTTCTGCTCTCTTGTTCAATGTTTGTCATAAGTGTTTGTTCGTGTCTGTTCTTTATAAGTGACCACTGTAGTGCATATACACAGTTATGCTATCGGTACAGGTATTATTTCTTGTTTTCTACAGTCAGGACTTTCTCTTAAGCGCAATAATTTACCAAAGAAATTCACCTAGTTGCGTAAATAATTTGGTGTATAGATATTCTGTTAATGTCTCCTTGCGGTGATGCAAAGTTTCTGAGATCTGTCATAAGTGGATTTTGCATTTAGACGGTCACTCTTGTCTGATAAAATTACTGCTCTACTTAGCAGCTTCAAATTTATACTTTGATCTCTGATTCATCACTAAATGACACTCGTGCGGTGTCATTTATCTTTAATCAGTTCAAAGCTATTTCGACAATGAATCATCAAAGGTCCGATCGAAGAAGGAATTTTCTGGTGAGTGCTGTGGCTGAACCGACATCACAACTCTACTATTGAAAGCATGAACCAAGACATGATCATTCGTCTGGAAGTGGAAATATTTTGCAACTCATCAGCAGGCCGATTATTGAAGGCTTAGAGCAACCCGACAAGACATCAAATTCCGATATATTGCATGGATAAGATAGGGCTATGTCTTTTCATGTCGGGCTGACATAGTTTCAATAATCGGGCAGCTGGTAGTTTAACAGGTAAGATTTGTAAAGTCACTTGGTATTACAAGTTACATTCGCATCTCTTGTGGAACAGTTTATGTAATTATGCTTACCTTTGTGGAGATTAATTGATAACAAAGCGAGCATATCAATATCATAGCCTAACTAGAAACCCACTTACGTAGATTCACAAAGTTTCAGACTTTCTGTTTCTCTTCGATTATAAAATCATGCAACGAAATGTTACAAATATCATCCCCAGATAACCTTAACCATGTTCCTGACTTTATCTTATGGGAGGATGTAATTCTATGTCTTTTCAAAATCCTTCCATTCGTCTGTACCTGAGAAATTCAGTAAACCAGCAGACTTTCGGACTTTTAACAAGAATCGTCGGCAACTTTACCATTGAAATGATTCTTAGGTGTTTTTGAACAAAGAGATTTTATTAAAATTTTTGTTGGACAGGTTTGATTCACCTTGAATTCTTAAATAGAGAGAAAAAAAACATTTTCTTCACTATAGAAAGAAATGAAACTGACCAAGCTGTAGGTAGGTAAGTAGTTTTTGATTACTTCATTCCATGAAATATGATGAGCCTTATTGCTGCAGGAAACACAACATATAGCAGGAATCCTCAAATAAATTTTATGTCTTGTACAATGTCTGTTGATACTTAAGTATATGATGATACCTATGAAGTACAAAATTTCTGAAAAGACACTGGGAATACCAGCAGAGTCATCTCAAAATTTTCTCTCAGGAACAAAACTAAAAATTGTGGAAGTTTCCTAAGAATGCTCTCAAGACAAATTTATGTATTATTCATAGATGAAGTGTAGCCTGCTACATATCATGTCGTATTCCTCTTCAAATATACATGCAGGTGAGTAGATTTTGAAATTTTGAGCGCACAATTTGCTTATGAAAGAAGCGAGCACTACCATGATTTCCACTTACCATTACCACTTCCTGATAAATTTATATGAGTTGATGCTTTTGAAAGTTGAGTTGAGATGTCGGTTCAGCCACAGCACTCACCAGAAAATTCCTTCTTCGATCGGACCTTTGATGATTCATTGTCGAAATAGCTTTGAACTGATTAAAGATAAATGACACCGCACGAGTGTCATTTAGTGATGAATCAGAGATCAAAGTATAAATTTGAAGCTGCTAAGTAGAGCAGTAATTTTATCAGACAAGAGTGACCGTCTAAATGCAAAATCCACTTATGACAGATCTCAGAAACTTTGCATCACCGCAAGGAGACATTAACAGAATATCTATACACCAAATTATTTACGCAACTAGGTGAATTTCTTTGGTAAATTATTGCGCTTAAGAGAAAGTCCTGACTGTAGAAAACAAGAAATAATACCTGTACCGATAGCATAACTGTGTATATGCACTACAGTGGTCACTTATAAAGAACAGACACGAACAAACACTTATGACAAACATTGAACAAGAGAGCAGAACTGGATTAAGTAACTGTAGTTTCTGATTTAGTTCTAAACTGCGAATTTGAAGAGCCATAAGACACACATCAGATGTGTAATCACTTGGTTTGGGCCAAAGAAACCTCGAACTACATGAGATCATATCGGTAAAGCTTGAGAGGTCAAAAGGCTATAATACTAAATAAATGGTGAACTTCTAACTCTTGAATGAATTCAGGACCACATACTCAAGACAAAGAAACTGCTAAACATTTGATTTGAGGCGAAAATGAAAAGAGAATGGTCAAAAAAAAGTAAAGGAAGAAAGTCTGGGTTTGGACACTGGACTTGTAAACACTGATTTTCAGAATGCACCTTAAAATGAGCCGATAGGCCGTGGCTCCTGGTTGTAAAATACGATGAATATTATTGCCAAGTGCTTGGTTGAAGTCGAAAATGGATTTAAATTATTTAATATTAAGAGATTTCGAGTTGCTCGGATCATTTGTGTTATCAATCTTCGTTTGTTTATACGACCCACACACGGCAGAGGCATGCAGAGGTACCCGCCGGCACGCCGGGTCAAAAGTGTGGCCACCGCCGGACGGAGAAAATGGGCGCCATTTTGAGATGGGCCAAGCGGCGCGCGTTTAAATGGGAGCCCAAAATGCGGACTTTTGGACTCGTATTTCGTGGGTTAATATTGCTCAAAAAAATCGGGGAAAATTCCTGTGAACTCTGTGCACTCTCTAGTTTCCAAAAATGCAAGAATTACGAATTGCTGAACAAGCTCATTGTTTATTGTATTACGTTAAAACTTCGTCTTGCTCCGAATACATAAAGCTGTAGAGCCATACAGCATCCCTCTCCCTCTACTGATCTTTCATACGTAATTTCTGATTTGTTTGTTTCTTGCAGGTGCACCTCCTCCCAAATTACCCGTGCGTAAGTACGAATATGAACCATCTCTAAAAATCTTGGGACGAGAAAATGCTCGGCTTAAATTAATAAGGCATAGAATGCGTAGAGGCTCAAATAGCGAAGAGGACGCCCTGCCAAATCGTGGATTGAGGGAATAAGGCAGGAAATGAGGATATGCGATCTGCCGGAGGAGCTCTGGCAAGGATCGCTGTCAGTGGCGGTTAGGTGTCGCAAACCGCACAGAAAGTGCTTTAAGAGCGACTTGTTAGTTAGTGCAGAATTATTAAGAGACTCCGGTGCTGTAATATTTGTAGTATTTGGAGAAATTAAAAAGAGTACATTATATTTTGCATCGTCCATGATACCGAAAAAAATGTTTTACAAAAATGTTTTTCTCGAGCTGGACCTTTCAGGGGAATAAGAAACCACACTTCGTTGAGTCCGTTGGCGTTTCTGTGTCACTGTGTGCGCAGCTACACTGCCGTGCTTAATTAAAAACGCCTTATGAACATTCGAGCGCTGCCAACTTTCGTTCAATAAAATGTTTATTTTTGAGGAAAGTTATGAATATTTTTCCTTGAAATTTTCAGGAGCTTTAGGTGAAATTGCAAACAAGATCATCTGAAAAATTGGAAGAAAAATATTCATATGTTTACAAGGAAATTTGTGTTTTATGAATGGAAATTTGGCAACGCCTTAAGGTTCATACGGCGTTCTTCTTTAGCATGGCAGTACACTGCACTAGTTCGTCACACAGATAGTGTCACAGTCTGGAAAACACAAGGTTTGAGCCCGGAAAAGTCCGAAAATACCGAAAATATGTTATTGTCTAACATCTTATTGTGTTTGATTGTGGTATTGCCGCTTTAAACCGGTTGCGACTCGATCGCGAGGGATTGGGAGACACTCTCCTTGCGTAAGATTTCAATATATTTAAAGCTCCTGTTTTTGCCAAATAAAGAAAGAAAAAAGGAAAACGAAACGCTCGAAAACGATTGAAATCATACAGTAAAAAAGTCAGTGAAATCGTTTCTTTTCTCAGGTTGGTTTTTCTCACTCTTCTACCTGTGCAAACCTGTTTGGCCTCTGCCCGCAGACGCGGGAAACTTGAAAAAGCCTGTTACAAACCACGCGGATTGCGGCACTAAGGAATTGATCTTAGACTTTTTTCATGTGCCTAACGTGATTTCGTGCGATTTTACTATAAAATTAGGTATATTCATTTCTGCGTATAACAGATTAATTTTCTCGAGAACTCGTTTTAGCGTGAGCACTATTGCCAAAAAGAGTCGATTAAAAGTGTGCGAGATAGCTGAAGGATGAGATAAGTAATATCAAAACCATAGCTGCAGAAACTTAAACCGAAAATCATAGACTAAACGCCCCGATAGGTATGTCGCGGCCAAGAGATACACTCAAGTAAATAGTCTCGCTACGAGATTAACTCTATGGAAATCACAATGGGCACATCAAACAAGACTGCAATTAACTCTATAGGGCGCAACGTGCGTTGTACGTAGATTGTAACACTTTTTTTTTCAAGTTTCGCGCGTCCGCGGGCAGTTTTTCTCAATTGCCGGTGGCCAGATTTACACAAACGGAAGTGTAAAAAATCCTAACCTGAATGAACAAACAATTTCGTTAACTTTTTCTGGTGTAAGACTTCAATCGTTCTGATATGAAGCGTTTGTTTCCTTCTCTTTTCATATTGTTTAGCAAGAACAAAAGCTTTGCCTCAACTCAATCTTAAGTTTTACAGGTCGAGAGATTGTTTGTTTATTTAGGTTGTAGGTTATTTCTCGTTTTTTCCCGGGCAAACTTTCCTGCCGGTCACTAAAAAAAACCGCCCGCAAGCACGGTAAATTTGGAAAAAAATCTTGTTCCAAACCACGCAAATTGCGCGTCATGGAGTGGATACCAGCCCCCTTTTTTCTCATAAATAGCGTTTTTCAATGTTATTGTGTATTTATTCTCTCACAAATAAGAGTTTTTTATGTTAAAGGTCAGTATGCCTGCGACATTTGCGGAGATTCTTTCGGTGCTCCCGGCTATTTCAAAGGGCACCTGCAGAGCCACACAGGAGAAACGGTCTGTCCCGTATGCTGGGCATTTAATTCATCGCCAGCTAATAAGACTAAGCATTTGGCAAAACACCACCAGGGTCCTCGGAATCCCTAAAATTGGAATCTGTAAGGAACTAGAAGATTTTGGAATCGGAAAAACGCGATCTACATACATAAAAAATCATTTAATATAAGTGTAACACTCTAACAGTGTGTATTATTAGTTGTAAATCTTCGTCAATTAAGTACCGAGGGAATGGGTTTGATCGAAAAATGAAAACGTGATTAGATCGACAAATTATTAAAAAACATCAATTATTGGCTGCAACTACCTCGTTATTATTTTCATTGTTCCTAACTGCTAACCGCAACATGTTTAATTGTTAAAAATCAGTTGTTAATTGGATTGAGACCCCCTGCTCAAACATGCTGGAAAGTGTGGGGACTCACGTGACAAAATTGCAGACAGTGTTGTGGTTGTTGCTCTGCAAAAGTTGCTGGACCGTCAGTTCAACTGTGAGCGCCAAATCTTCATAGGCCTCGACAGCGGGAAGCTTGCAGGGATCCCGTGGGGTCCCCCACTCAGAAAGTGGTAGGGGGTGCTCTTGGGGCAATTCGCCACCGACCCCCTTTAGCCATACCTGCTGCTCCTCGGCCGTGTCAACATTCGACTGTTTTTGCATGGAGGAGTTAGGTGCAAAAATGGCCCGAATAGCAAAATCGAGATTCCAAAAAACAGCGATCGAATATTTCATTACAGTATACCAATTTGATACATTATCAGGTATTGCATTGGCTGAGGTCAAAAAAAGTTAGTCCATATCCTCGAGTTCAAGTTGGCACGAGAGAAACATAGAAAGATATTGTTGAAAATGAGAAAAAAAAAAACCGAAATGATGTATTCTCGTAGTTTGTGCATAGTCTGATTTGCAAAGTACATTTTGTGTTTAAATGCCTGATACTAAGACTGTTTTTGCTAAAATCAATTTTGACCTTCATGGGATGCAAATTAGAATATTTCAGAGAATAAAAAATTAAAGTTTTCGCACACATACATAGGTTTTCCATAAAGTACTGCAATAATCGACTTTTAGAGCGAACAGAAAATGAAAAAAAATCGGTGCGCATATTCGTGTAGACGGAGTCAAAACCAAAAAAAAAGAGACCTTGTTCACGCAAAAAAAGCGCAAGGCGTCACTCCTCCCGCGATTGTCATTTTCCAGATGAACCGCTCGGCAACACTGGAAAAAAAACACATTGGATCTAGAGTCCAGACTCTTGAAAACATTGACAAGAAAAAATACTCTTGATTCAATCAGATTTAAGCTGAAATCTCAAGAAAATCCGCTCAAATTAAGAGGCTTGGTTCTTGATTTAAGCTTAAATCTAATTGAATCAAGAGTATTTTTTCTTGTCGATGTTTTTAAGAGTCTGGACTCTAGATCCAATGTGTTTTTTTTTCCAATGAATGTTACACGCCAAGGTTACCAAGTCACTTGTTAAGGAAACTATGCTGAACGCACAGGATACACGTATGCGCGTAGCATAGTTCGTTGCGCCCTGATAATCGATCCTTTTCTATAGGTTTAAATGATAGATAAGTCGATTCATAGCAAAGCTCGAACTGCCACTGGTTTAATTAACAGGGCAAAGGTGTTGTGACCTTTGGAAGTTTCCAACACTCGAAGCACGCAATCAATCATCAAAGTCAATTGCACCGTGGGTTGTGACTAATGTTGCGTAAAGTGCCTAGTCTCTGCCGGTGATAGGCGCGCTGTCTAAAATCATAAGAGCTTTTCGCATCGAGTCTGGTGCTCGTAGGGAAAAGTCAAGTGTGAAACTTACTTTGAATTTTAATTTTCTCCCGTAAATTGGTCGTAACATGGACGCCAAAATGCCCATGTTTCAGCTGATTTCATTCAATCATCATCGTAATATCTGCTGCTGTTGCTCATGCTAAGACAAAGAGTACGTGCACTGAGTCGAGATGTAAATGGGAGACCTGGCGCCATGTTCTGCTCGTCGTTTACATTAGAGTACCTGTGCACGGGAGAGTATTGCTATCTCTGTGCCGCTCACTGATTGGTTCATCAGTTTAAGATTATCGTGGAGCTCCAAAGTTGGACCAATGTAAACAAACCCGACCCAGAGGAATACGTATTATCGGCCGAGAGATGGATGATAATCACACTCCAAGGTTAATTTTCGGAAAAAATATCTATTTAAGGTCGATCCGAACTCAATTCAGAAGTTGATCATAAAAAAATTTCTATCACATCCGAAATCACGTCTAGAACTTTGTAGGACTTTGTCGCCATCTTGTTTTATTACATTGGGCCAAAATAGGGGCTGGGTCTTGTTTATATTGAATCGATTATTAAGGTGTTCGTTGCGAACACCTTGTTTATCAATCTTCTTCCATAGACTTAAATGGAAGATCAATCGATATATCGCAAAGCATGGCACGCCACTGGTCGGTTTCACTCCATCCGCGGAGGTAGATACTATTTCAAATTTTTCCGCGTTACCTAATTGTGTTTTCTATATCTATAAGTCCTATATTAATTAATCCCATAATAATCCTATAGTAATTATAACATACTTCAATTTGTTTAAACTTCATTCGATTGCACTACAGTTACGAACAATCCATTGTAGACGACTTTGAGATCAATTTTAGACAAGGTAGCTTCATTCGAGAAAAATCGAGTATTTCGAGTTTCGAGTATATTTTTAGGTGAAAAAAACCTGTTCACGTCAATTTACATGAATCATTTATAGTGCGCGCATAACATTCCAAGATATATAATGCGCCGTGGTGCAAAATCCAAAGAAGTTTTTTTTAGGGGGGGGGGGATAAGCTCTGTTCCTTGAATTTCACTGTCGCTTTTTTTTCACATGTGCATGCCTTTGATTTTCAAGGACCTCTAGTCTGCGATTCTTGCGGGGAAACTTCACCAAGCGAAGAGAAACTAGCTGAGCACAAAAAGACCCACACTGGAGAAACGTCCTGCCACTTTTGCGGGTCATTCATTGGCCATATTGCGAATAAGAGAAGGCATATAAGAGACTATCACAAAGCTGAGCGGTATAATTCACCAAATGAGAACCGCTAGCGAACTGCAAAATTTTGGAATGAGAAGAAAACGTGACATCTACATATGCAACAAAAATTCCAAATCCTCTTCAAATAAGTACAAAAACAAAAAAGTAAAAAGAAACCCTCTTGGAGCGAACTCTGACTGAACTCCGAAATCTGGCCAATCTGACTCCTGACTATGGTACATCAAAGCTAATTATGCGGGGGAATATATGGAAAATCAAGCAATCATTCATGGAATGACCTACCAACAAAAATGTAACCGCCAACGGAAAAAAGGACCTCAGCAATAAAAAACGTAAAATCTGGATGTTGCGACCAGTCCGTAAACGTCAGCAACTAAAGAGATTAGAATTCTTAATTTAATAATACAAATCATTAAACAGAGAGATAAGAATAATTAATTAAATCATTTACATCAGTAAGTAGCGAGATGGATAGAATTAGTCTACCCCAGACCTGCTGAGAGCAGAGAGAGAGTAGAATTTAAACTTGGCGTGATTATAAAGTACGTTTTCGGAACGATATTATTTTAGTTTTTGATATAATATTAGCATATTGTTCTTTCATATGTGTAGAGTAAAAATCAAAGATAAAACGAATAACCTAAAAGTCTACTTTTTCCGCGTATGACTTTAGGCTTTTTTATGGTAGATGCAGTTCTAAGAGAAGTTTTTTTAAGCAGAACTTGACAAAAATAAAGGTCTGGAATTTTAAAAAAACAAAACAAACGAACA